GCAATCCCCGCCCGGGATACAAAAGAGAAGCGGAGGAGAAGACAGGAGGCGAGAGGGGAGGCAAAACGGCGGGGCCCTTCGTGACCATAATCGGCGGCCGGGAGGAGGCCGCTCAGATCGAGCCGCACGGAAATCCACTCTTGAAAAGTAGCCATTACCTTAATTATTGGTCTTTCTAAGAGGCCACGAGAAGCGGCGGGGCTCCGCGTATTCGGAGTATCAAACGTCGACGGGATTTTTCGGGACGCGTTTGCTCCTCGCGACATTCCTCCCCGTTGCGAAGATCGAAGAAAATAACGCAAGTTCAATGTCGATTAAAATATTTTACGAAGAATCTTCAATCTTCTCAAAAATGTCAGCAATTGTCGCGCCAAGTTTCTTTATAACTTTATAATCAGCCGAGAATTTCGCTCGCATCGGTTTGTGATTACACATTTTGTTCGGAGAGGAGAGGGGGGGAAAAAAAAAACACGAAGTCCATTTTATCAATCGAAACGCGCGTAGAGATCAACATCGCGAGGAATAAAGAGAGAGCGGAGTCAATTAAGCCGACGAAAATAAATCGCGCGGCGAGGAGTCGGTACATATACACTGGCGCGAATTAATTGCGTCCGACTAAAGGGTTACCTTTTCGATTAGGAGCGGCGGAAAAAACAAAAAAAAAGACGAAGTAATTAAAACCGGGGTGAAATTCGAATACATCGGCGAGTGCTTCTCGGGAGGAAAAAAGAGGGAAAGGGGAAGGCGGGAGGAGATCGGTACGAGAGTCGAGAGAGCGCGGATCGACCTTTAATAACCGCGTATCGTCGTTTCACGAGGCCGGTTCGCGGTGAGCGCGCGCGGAGACTTTCCAAAAGGATCAACGAAAAAGCCTTACGATCGAGCGAGGCATCGCTCACTTAAGGAATTAGCGGTAATGGCGGTGCAGCGCCAACTTTGTTGCGCACTATTTCATAATGGTGCGCTATATGCAACGAAAGTGGGATCCCGCGAGGGTAAGTTTTCACGCACACCACTCCGGGGTAACCTGTGATGCTGCTCCCAAAGGATCGATTAACCGTTAGTGCGGAACACTAATTTATTTGAAAGAAATTCTCTCTCGCACTAATGCGCCTATATTTTTTTCTCCTATTTTAGGTTTTTTTTTTTTTAACACACACACAAACTCCGTTCTGTCAACATTTAAATTGTGCGCCAATTATATTAACACAATAGATTTTTTTGCGATACTAAATAAGTTGATTAGGAGATATATACGTGTTAAAAGAGAGAGATTTGATTGAAACAAAAAACCAAACTAAACACGCACGCTTTTCTCGTCGAGAAGAAAAGCGCGGCCACATGTAGATTGTTCATTAGGGCGCGAGTACTCGTGATTGATGGACACCGCGAGGACACTGCGGAAATTCTAATGCGCGTTAAAATTGCGTCTTCTCCAGTGTCTCGAAACATGAGGATGTAACCGCAGATGGATGTAACTGAGAGCCTCGTATCGGGCATCATTGCACATACATACACACACACGCATATATAATACGTGCACGTCGTCTTGGCGGTTCTGGTACCCGATTATTCCGATGGAGATCCGTATCTGGTGGTAATTAGGCGTCTAATTAAAGCGGTTAATTAATCACTAAACGTGTGCGGGCTGGGCGGGACATACGTCTGTCGCGACCCCGTTGTCGACATTTTCGCCAGTTTGGAGATCGTTCAGCAAGCGTTTTGTCCGACGAGCAATTTTGTACATCAATAATTATCAAGGCGAGTAATTTTCAAAGTATATCAAATCAGGTAATTTAGTAATTTTTTCCCGGTTTTGTTGATCCAAATAAAAAAATATAAAATACTTTAGAAAAATATTCTATACTTTAGATATATGTAAAATAATAATAAAATAACGTTATATAAGTCACAAACGACTCTGAAATCGTAAACAATCGCGTGATAACTTCGCGACTTACGACAGATCGAACGTTTTCGAAAAACGTTTTCACTCCGGCTGCGAAACTTGACATTGTCGGTTCGATCAACGCGAAATCGTTCTGCGTTTTTTATACGACCGGAAATAACCACCGACATTTGTGAAAGAACAATCGACAATAATGCCTTTATACGTTCGCGACCTGGCATCGGGTCCGGCAAATTCTTTTTCGTCGATGAACAACACGTATTCCCGCATCAATGGGTTCCCCTGTCTCTCCTCGCATCATTTATCGACCACTTGGATTCCTTCTCGTGAATAGAGGAGGAAGATATATCCGCGCAGGATCTCCGTGCGCTCCGATCCGTTCGAATAACAAAAATGTGCGGGCAAAGAAAAACGAGAGAAATCGAACGACTCTTCGGACTGACGTTGAGCGATTAGGTTGTTCTATTAAATGCGAGGTAATTAAAACGACAAGTGTGTTTATTGCCGACGCATGTGGGCGAGACGTCGGCCAAACGGTACGACCGACACGGTTTTATTGGCCAATCGGCATCGATTTATGACATGCAAAATGCACAACTCGCGCAAACACGGCGATCTTCGTTAAAATAAAAATTGCTAATATTTTATTACTTTGCTGTAATAAAGAACGCTCCTGTAGTTTTTTTTTTAAATTAATTAATTTTAAATTAATCAATTTGATTTTTAGCAACGTCAAAGTTTTTAACACTTGAGAGATATTTCACAAATATTTATAAACAATACAATTTCTAACTGTAATATTTGTGAGAAATGCAATTTTTGTTTATAAAAAATATCTTTAAGAATTTTACAACCGATGAAATATTCTGTGAGATAGGAGGGTATAGCTATAATAATAGCTATGACGCTTGATACGTGGCATCAGTGTTCGAGCGTCTTTCGCAGTCTGTTCGATCGAAATAGGGCGAAACACACGTCAAGCAAAACAACATCAAAGGGTTGGGAAATTGCGGTCGCCGAACCGGAAGCGCATCGGGCATGAAAAATCGGTCGCGCCAATGAGATTACAATAACTGAAAAACTTATCTGCGATAAGAAAGAGAGACGATTCGAAATAGATGACGTCGGACTCGACGTTACCGTACCGACGCACGCATCAAGTCGTTATCGCAATTCGATTCTTTTATTCTCTCTCTTCTCGGTCTTGATTTCTTATTTCGTTTCCTCGTGTTCTATACGCAAACATAACAGAGCCGCCGCTCGTAACGCAATTTATCTGTTTTCCTTTACGCGGTGCGAGTCGGTCGGATCGGAGAGCGAGAAATTTTCCACTGTCCGGACACTGCGAGGACTGGACTCGCCGCGAATAATGCGTGTTATGGATCACGATAACTGTAATTTTACCGACACGATGTGTGACTTGAAACGTCTTCACTTATCGTGAGTCGTATTACTTTCCAGCGCGATAAGAATTTTTAGAGACGAGTAAATACGTGCGATACAATTCGATCTGTGCTTAATTAAAGTGTTTTTGTTTTTTTTTACAATTACGTTGAAATTAACGGCGCAAAGAAACATTAAAAAATAATGTGAAATAATAATTATATTATATACATGTGTATATAATATGTAAATATTGAGAAATATCATATATGTTTGAATTGGTGAAAAAATACACGCGACTGAGGAAGAGCGAGAAAGCCAGAAATACGGAGTCCCGAAGGGTCGATTCGGATTTTCATGCCCGAAGGAAGCTTCTTCTTCCTCCGCACACACACACACACACACACAGGGAACTATTAAATTTATGGCTTTCTCTCTCTCTCTCTCTCTTTCTCTCTTCTCGTCGAAGGAGGAGACGATAACATGCATAATAAGCGCGCTCAGATAACGGGTGACGCATAAGTTACGATCCTGCGATAAACGAGGCCCCGTGCATAACGTGGAAGGTTACCCGCCGGGGTGGTCGATAGTCGAAGGAGAGAAGATCCAGGAAGCTCTTTGAAATCTTTGTGTCGTCGTCAGATTAAACTCGGACGTGTTCTCGAGTTAACAAATGGAACGTCATTTAATTAAATTATAGCAGCTCGATTTTCTGGGTAGGTGAAGAGAATGTGCGCAACAAGTATTCCTTTCCCGGATTTAAAAGCAAAATCTATTTATGTTTGAACATAAGACATGCGCTTGCGCCTATCTCTGTTTGAAGTAGCAATGTCAACGCTTTTATTTGTAAATAAAAGCAATTTTTAATTTCGCAAATGATATTCAAGAAAAACAGTCGCTCGATTAATTTAACTCGCGAATTATCAGTTTCGCTCGCGTTTTGCGTCAATTCAACAAAGGGGTCGGCTTCGCCGCGATGCAATCTTTCGTGCCGCGTGTCAAGATATACTCGATGATCAATTAGTATTCATGTGTATCCACCGCGCTACAAGCTGTGTATCAATCAACAGACATATGGAATTTTGATGTGCGTAAAAAAAAAAACCGAGGGAAATAAATTTAAATTAACTTGCGAGTAGCTATATCCGGAGGAGCCAATATCTCCATTCGCGCGCGCGCACACACGCCGTGGTCAGCACGTTTCTCGCGAAAAAAAAGAACGGGTTAGATTATCGACGGCGACAATGCCGAATTAGATATGTATCGGGGCGGAATTCATGAGCGCCCCGTCGCACATCTTAATCGCGGAAGCCGTTCTCTGTCTCTCTCTTACTGTCTTCATGGTCGATATCGGTGTCTTCACGAAGCGGCACCACTGTCGTCTTATCGACGTACGCTATTGGAAACTATCGGCACGGGGATAGAAAGGCGAGACTGGCCTCACCGGGCAATCCTGAAAAACGCGATCTGCCTCCTTTCCTATCCTCTTTAGCTCTCCCCCCCGTGTCGTGAGTCTCCGTCTTCCGCCACTCGATTTATCTCGAAGCCCGCCTCGCTAGTCCCGCTTATCCCTTAATTTATTTTCCGTATCTCTTGAAATCTTAATGACGACACGGGCTCGAAAGCGGAGCCGGTCGGTGGTTCTCAAAAGTATAGGGAAACGAGTGAGGAAGAGAAGGACAGAGAGAGAGAGAGAGAGAAAACTCACCTTGCAGATTTCTCTGGATATTATCCTCTCAGGCGAATCGGCACGTTCCCGCCGCCATCGTCAACGGGGCACTTCCGTCTCTTCGGCGGTACGTTCGCCGCGCTACAACCACGTGTTCCGCAGATTGCCGCTGAAACAATAAAAGGAAACACTTAAGAAATCCACATCTCGCGAGACAAACTTCAACATGCGAAAAATAATACACAGTACAAATTTTGTTTTGCAATTATACAGACTCTCTCTTTTTCTCGTTTCAAATTGTAATAAAAAAAAAAAAAAAAAGAGCAACGAACAAAGTGATGCTATTTTGAGAGTCACGTGAACGAAGAAGCGAGACGATAAGCAAGATATATCGCTTATCGTTCATCTGGAAACGCTTGTAACTCTCCCTCAACGGATGCTGAAGAAAAATGTCAGTAATGAATTATCCCTATACGATATAGTTCTGCACTCTCACATACGTGTTGATATACGATACATTCGGCTGATTGCGCATTTAACGACGAACCGCTCTTATCACACGACACTTGTACATCACACATTGTAGTCTCGTTCGTTCTAGTTTTACGCAGCATGAGTGTCTCAGGAATCTTTTCTTGTTGACAGTGTCACGGATTTGTGAATTTTACGTCCGAAGAGACGACGCGGCAGCAGCTGCTCTCGGTTTTCGACAGGTGCGAAAAAATTCCGACGGTAATTTAATTTGCGGTCGATATGACAACGCGTTGCATTTGTTTCCAACTGATTTGAATCACGTGAATATTCAGTACATTGAAATATTGCAATTTTCATAAAATTGCAATAACAAATGTCAGAAAGAAGCGCATTGTATATACTCGAAGTAAATAAAATATATATAAATATATATAAGAAACCACCGTTTGCACGATCGTGACGCATTCTTTTATGCTAATTTCGAATTTCTTTCCTCGTGCAAATTGAATTTTGTCTTTCTCGTCGAGGTGAATTCGCCGACATTCGGCACATTCGCGTGTCAAAAAGTTCACAAGCTGCACCAAGCTGAACTTGTTGCTTATCTCTCTTTGTTCGGTCACCCTTCGTAAACCCCTGTCTTTATAATCGCATCGTCGAAATCGTCTTAAAGTCAGTCATTTTATGGCGATTTCACTCTCGCGCATCTGGCAAAGCTCGTGTTTCTTTTGCGTTTATAAATAATTGGCGATTCTATTTTTTTCTTTTTGTTTTGTTATGTTAAAAGTAACAATTCAACTGTGAAAAACAAAAAAAAACAGATGTTAGGCGCGCTATAACCCAGTGGAATAATCCCGAAGGGCGGGATTATGTATCGGGTGTTCGCTCGGCAAAACGCGCGCACAAGTAGCAGAAACGATGCAGCGCGGTCGAATTTGCATACAGTGGCTGTGCAATCGACTGTCGGACCTGCAATATTTATGAGGCACAACTTCCTTCGATTGTTTGTAAGCAGCTACATGTAAATAACGCGTTGTCATTTCTATACGTTCGTCGACTGTTGGTTTGCGAAAAACAAAGAAATCGTCGAAGAAAAAAAAATACAGTTCAAAACTAATAATATTCTCTCAACGTAAAAAAAAAAAAAAAAAATGCAAATTACTAACACACGTTCTCGATTCGTCGTAAGTTGTAATTGTTTTGTATTTTTAATTGCGTAACAAACGTAAAAAAAAGTTTCCAGTGAGATAAAGAAAAAAAATTGCAGATTAATCGATTGATTCTTCTTAAAATTCAATACGCAGCAAAATTACGCGATGAAAAACGATGCTGGGACGTGAGCGAAAAACGCGATATATGTATTCGCGAGTGTTCTGTACGCGATTCTCATCGATCGCAGCGCTGGCGCCGATACCTTTGGTACATACACGAGCATATCCTCCGATCGGATGAATAATTGCGCGTCCTTTGTTTAGCGCCCGAGGACACGTTGGATGATTTACAACCGGAACATAAGATTTAATTTCTGTCGTCGATTACCGGTGCAAAGTTAATGTGTCCATTAAGAAAATGCGCGCACGCGCGATCATCAAACAAAAATCCGAACCGCATAAGACGAATCGCGACATTATCGCTGATTAATGCGCGTTGGAAAATTCACGCGAGCACCGAGAACGTAATGATCGAAGCGTCTCCCCGCACGTTCTGCAATCAGACCGGTTGTGTCGGATTGGCAAATGCAGGCGCACGTCGGGATTGCGTGGCGTTTTACGGAAATATCTCCGCTTTAATTTTCGTCAGACATTTCCTTGTTTTAATTTAAAAAAAAAAAAGATGAAACAAAAAAATTACGTTCCATTAAATTTGATTTTTTTTCTCGTTTTTTGACAGTTTTTCCGATAATCCTGACAAAGAATCATCTTCACCTGTCGCTTAGAATTATGAGTGGAGAATCTTTTCAAACGATTAGCAATTATATATACGCGCGACATGGTGTGATCGCGGTTGCGCAAAACCGCGCGTGCAAACGCAATGAAATGCAAACAACGTTTTCTCAAACGTGACTGCGCGCCGCGGACAGTTCGCGCGGTGCGAGAGACGCATCCTCTTCGCTCGTAAACAACAATAAACATTCGCGATAGGGATCATCTGTCGACGCGAGAGATCCTTTTGTTCTAAAAATAGAAATATCGGTTATTAATGAGTAATTCGCGCGGGGGCACCGCGAGAATTTACTTACAGCACTGTGTGTGCATGTGATGCGTGCGTGTGTGCAGCGCATGTATGATTGTGTTTGTGTGCGAACACGCGCACACACCAATGTGGTCCGCATTCCACGAGTGGAACAACCGGTACACCACGAGCTCCAGTGGCTCTCATTCGTCCCTCGTCTGCAACGTCCTCCTCTCCCTGACAGGAAAGAAACGACGTTATGCAACGAGCGAAGAAGAAGAAGAAGTCAGTGGCCCGGCAAATTCGCGGAAGATGAGATGGCCTTCCGGGTCTCTTCACTCTTATTTTTCATCGCGTTTCTTGTTTTCTTTTTCTCTCGGTGTCCGTGTTCGATGCGTTCGCGCGCGCCACCCCGCGTCGGTCAAAATCGAAAGTCGCGCGCGAAAAAGAAGCGGGAGCGGAAGAGACTCCTTTCGAGATCACGGTCTCTTCTGCGAGGATCTCCGCCGGATTGTGGAGCAGCTGGGGAATCAGTTTTCTATTTTCTTATTCGATTTTAATTGCGAGAATCGCCGATACAAGCAAGTGCATTAAATGACCGAGTTTTTGCCGGGAGAGATGCATCATCGAGAGGTGTCACGGACGCGATTTAATGCAGTCACGATGTGTACACACATCGAAAATCGCTTAACTCTGTGCAACGAGCGCGACGTTTGGAGAACGAGACGAGACGACTGAATGGAAGAACACGGCGTCTCTTCAAAATGACAAGTGAGCGAGTGAAAGTTTGAAGAGAGAATATTAGCACGATGTGTGTTTTTAAAGTTCCGTCTGCTTTTTATCTCACGATCTTGCTGTCCGTCGATTAGCTGAGTGAAAAATTGCGAATACATCTCTTTCAATCTTCCGTAATTGTTTTTTTTTTTTTTTTTTATCTAAAATAACTGTTACACTAAAAAGATCTCCTATTCGCTCCGACGAGAACAATGAGGGATAATTTTTTCTTGATTTCTCCGACGAGAGAGACAGAGAGAGAGAGAGAGAGAGAGAGAGAGAGAGAGAGAGAGAGAGAGAAATTAAGTGATCTTTTTATAATGTTTCAGTGACTATTATAATAACAGTTGTAGGTACAGGCGCTTCAGAAATTAACGTCCGCGACGCGGCAACGAAGTCACGAGCAGAGACAATTGCATTTATTGGCAAAATACCGGTGATAATGTAACGGTATACGCTATCGAGTAAGAGGATGGGCGGCAAGAGCATTGGAAGAGGTGCAACTGTGCATTGCGAGAAAAGTGGAGTGTGTCGATTGTTCCTTTCGTTATCTCCGCGAATCTACTTATATTTCAAATTTTACACGTTCGGCAAAAATTCCATCTTCCCTTCTCTCAAAGAAATAATACATCAATAATAATCAATTTGATTTGAGACAGACAGGAAGATAGAGAAGGATTCGGCCACTTCGTGAAAGAGTATCTTTCGACACGCTCAAATAGAGCTACTCTTCCTTCACTACGCCGTTAAATCCGCTCTTTCTCTCGTTCGCCGATCAATGCCGCGTGAAATCGAGAGATAGAGATCGACGTGATATCGAACGTTCCGATATCGCGCGCGGCAATCTGCGGTTAGAGCGAAGTTACGAAATGCCAAGCGTAAAACACGCGGATGAGAGCGAAATTACGTAGGGAAACTGTGAGCGACATGCAAAAAACTGGTTGAATACGTTCAACAAATCTCTTCTCTCAACGGGAACAAGATAAAAACGTGCAGATCTTTGCGACGTAACTTTTATTCACTCGTATCACTTTGAGCATATAGTTGAGATTTGTCAAATTTGAATTTTCGGATGTTTAATAGATTAATTTTTCTTGTAAATATATTTATTTCTCTTGTTTTAGCGTTCAATAACACTAAAACGAAGTTATTGAAATAGACATTTCGCGAGAGGTGTAAAAAAATTAGCAGCGATTCTATCGAGTAGCTCTTCTACCCACGAACTGATTTACAGTCGACGAGAGAGAGAGAGAGAGAGAGAAAACGAACGGGTTAAAATTATCGCGCGAAATTCTGGGGTGAGCGTCCCGTCCTAATTTCCAATTCCACAAACCTCTCTCTCTCTCTCCTCTCCTCTCTCACAGGGAAATTACTTCGGGGACACCCGGTGCATCTAAATTTCTGGCTTGGCCGTGCTTCGGGCTAGGCTTGAACCTGAGTTTCTGATTTATGTGGGCCCCTAGGGGGAGAGTCCAGTTGCCAGGTCTCCCACAAATACTCCGCCGTTGTGTACGCGTGGATGTACAGAGCGCGCGTACATATATATATACATGTATATATTGTATATATATATATATATATGTACATGTACGTGAAGAAGCACACTCTCGGCTGGGCGTGTGTGTACGTACCGTACATGTATGCGCGTGGTATGGAGTCTACCGAGCAAGTCTCTCCGGTACGCCACGTTTAAGATCGCGCGTGGGTGCGGATTTCTTATATACCCCGCGCGATGGATGCGACTTTCGCGAGCGCGATGACCACTCGTTTGTCCGCTCGTGAGAAATGAAAATTGTTATATCGAGTCGTGCCGGAATTGACGACTCTTATTATCGATCGGCGTTTTGTTTGCGGTCTCTGGATCGCGACACAACGGCGGTAACGGTTTCCAGAATAATCGTGTTAATTAAGAGATCTGTAGATATTAAAAGCGCGTCGACACACGAGTTTGCAAAGAAGCGAGTTGTACGCGTGTTCTAATAATTGAAACCGTCGATTGCGCGAATTTGTCGACAAAACGCGCGGGAGAACGTTTTGTTCGTTTGTTTGTAAAATTAAAACATATACACTTAAATTAGATTATTTTGCGATTAATTGCCACGAAAGAATGTTGGTTTGGATACGCATAAAAATAGAAACGATTGTGCTTTGTTTCTCGTTTCCGAAGGTGTATATATACGTACGTAAGCACTAATGCACATGTTGCAGTAAGTGCAAGACATGATTATACTTGTGCATCTCTTCGCGCGGCAAATTGCAACGTGAAATTATAGGCGCGCGAAGTTTATACAATAAAGATTAATGCGCACGATACGGACTCTTGCGGTAACTCCCGAGCGAGCCTCGCGCTTAAGATAGTGTAAACGCGGTTTATAGCGTATATATACACGTACGTGCGGGGATGCAACTTTATCGTATCGCGCAGGTGTATCGCGCGACGTTTCAAAAAGTAGCCGGCTTAAACGGGCGAAATTCACAGTCCGGTGAATAATTAAAGTTGCAATTGCGCCACGTCCTACTTTACGTACCTACTTTACGTATGCAAGCAGAAACAAGGCCGCTCGAGACCGACCGAGTTTCGAGTACAAATACGACGAACCTAGTATTAAATACCACTCGAAGTGGCTTTTTTTCTGTTTGCTTGCATACAATCAGCTTTGATTCCTGCATCTTGCGAGAGAATATCTTTCAAGTGCAAAAGAATAATTAGTCATCTACAATTCTATCGGTTTTATATTGCTCCACTCTGTAATCACGTGTGTGTGTGTGACTTTCACAAGTAAATACATCTACTAAGTATATTTTTTAACCTTGATCTGCATTCCTTAAGGATTCTCATCGCAAACGTACGCGGCGTCAACAATTTCCACATGTTACGCACACACGTACGTACTCTCGAGTTCTCGCGTTAGAGTTTCACGCTGTATATCAAAATAAAACACTATCATATGTTGCGACTGTATATTGAAGATATTTATTTTTATCGGAGTACTTCGCATAATATTGCAGTCAAGTTACTCTATTTTATGCGACTGCAATACACAACTCGTAAATGAAATAAAGAAACCATTATTGTAAATTACGTTATAAACGTAAATACGTGAATCGAGTTACAGAAGATAATCTAGACTGGTTGCGAGGAACATCTCTCTCGGCACACAAAGTTTCTATCAAAATCCAATGTGTGGATTTAAACACCCGGTCGATTCTTTGTGAGAGAATTTTAGGATAAAATCCCGATTTATAGATCGATTTTTAGAAAAAAATTTCGGATTTGTACATCAATTTCAGTCTATAAAAAAAGTAAAAAAACTATCGACTCTCTTACGATGGTAAAAACTTGTTGTTAAAGTTTTGCCACAAGTTCAGATTTTTACACAGCAAAATCCTGCGCTGAATCTCAAGATCCAGATTGGAGAATCTGCTAAATTACACGTTGCCGGCGAAGGATGAAGGAATCAATCTGATCAGATGAATAAACTTTCGCGACGAGATTCCCTTTTATTGGTTTTTACGTTAAGATACATTACGGCAATTATCATCGCGAGCGTAGCAGTTTGTTTATGCCTGGCAGATCTGGTGCTCGAAGCCGTTCTGCACGGTCGTGTATTACCGGCGCGTACATTCACTATTCTCGGATCTCGCTAGGGGACACATTTATGCGCAAATACATAGCCGTTCGTTTCGCATGCTTCGCCGCTATGTACGAAGAGAAGTTCTCCCTTCTATGTACCTTTCCTGAATATAAGTCCTCTTTCTCTTTTTCTCTCTCTCTCTCTCTCTCTCTCTCTCTTTCTCTCTCTGTATTTCAGTTCTCTAACCAAGCGGATTAACCTAGTCCGCGGTAGAATCTCTTGATACACGAAATGCGGGACGTGGAAACCGGCACACGAGATTCCGCGCATTGCGCTTAAAATTCCAACTATTCAGTGGTGAATAACGTAAACTGGCCGACGCTTCGAAAATTCCTTCCCGAGAGGAGTACATACATAGTTCTTATGTACGAAAAAAGAGAATATATCGGAACTCTCGGAGATCAATAAACTCGAAGATCTCGTGTAAAAATTCCATAAAAAATAAAGACACAATTTCACAAAGTATCCTAAAAAACAACACGTGGCTAAAGTCACGTGACAGGGAAAAGGGTAAAAAAGAGAATATTATATATATTATATGTAATATTCTATATCTATATATAATACACACACATACGCATATAGATAGATAGATAGATAGATAGCTTTTATTTTAACGCGCCCTGGGACAAGTCCCCTCAAGCGCATATATGTATATATATATATATATATATAAATATATATATATATATATGCAGTATATATACATATATATACGCGGCCGAGGTCAGTGACTCCACCGCAGTCGCGCGACCGAGGTCATTGACCCCGCCGCGGTCGCGTGCCCGCGGTCATTGACCCCGCCGCGGTCGCGTGCCCGCGGTCAGTGACCCCGCCCCCACCAAGGCCGCGCGGCCGAGGTCAGTGACATTACTCTGTAGTATGTATATAATGCATATAATACAATATAAAGTATAATGTTATAAATATATAATAAATTATATGTATAATATGTATTATTTAATGTTATATATAATATAAATTACAGTCACGTTATTTTCACGTGTTGTTTTTCTACTCTTTCCTGTCAGGTGACTTTAGTTACGTTTTTAATTTTCTCTACACGACGAACTGTCTCAAAATTGCTTTTATTATTTACTCTCTCGATCTTACCGATTCGATTCGACTCGATCAACCAAACAACCAATCGGCAACGCGGAAAAGAGACAACAATAGGTGCGATATATTCGACTCCAAACACGCATTTCTCGGTCCAAATGCCTTTTTTAATATAGGATAGGATAACAACACAAAAACAAAAACAAGATACGCTTACATACCGATGGGAATTTTTTGAAAGTCGAGGAAGGCAATTCCGCGGGCTATGAATCATCATATTCGCAACACACACGAGATGAAAGA